TATGATGGTCGATACTTGATCTATCTCTTACTGTTACATCCCCGGGCAACGCCGGGTTCTACTGCTAGAGTCCTATAAAGTACATCATTTCATGTGTGACAACCTAATACTTGCTTAGCTTTTCGTAATCCATTATCAATGATTTTCTTGTCTAATTTTTCCGCTCTCTAGTAAAACACTTCACAGTTATTTAATTTTTTCTACTTGTTTGATTTTATCACCGAACAGAAAGTAGAACCCATGAGTAATCGAAACTGTCTATTAAAACTGCTTTGGAATGGAGGCTGATAACTTCATTCCTTAACAATTCTACTTGCTGTGTTATATTCCGTGCTAATAGGAATTTATACTTGAAAAACAAGGTGCATAAAATAAGTAAAGGTTTATTGTAAAAACAAAAAACATAAGAATAAAGGTAACAGTTATCCATCAGGTCGTCGCAAGTCAATCTAGTAGTGAGTGCTACTATTGAAAGGTTCTCGCGTAAATCTGAGTCCTACTGAATAGATCCCGGCTAGACAATATTTACCAGCCTCGCCACGGCGTAGGATCTGGGACAAGGCCGAATTTGATGTGGGGCAATCCGAGCCCGTAGGCTCGACCAAATATTCCACGTAAACCCGAATAAACTCTTCAAAAGTTTGGAATTTGGCTCCAGAAAGAGAGATTTACGCTTGGTCAGTTGTATGTTGCATGCTTAAAAGATAGAAATTTTAAGAATTCTTTCTTAGCTGTTAAAAAAAATATTATATAGCATGAAGTCCTATAAAATTAAATTAAAGGAATTATTTAACTGCAAAGGAGGTTTTTTGTCAAATAAGTTTCCAAACAAATCATTTCATCCAAATTTCCTCGATTGGTTTGCAAAATTGTACAAAATGTAGAGTTTGTAAATCTCAGCAAAAAATTTTAGCGAAAACTTCAACAATAAGTACGGTGAGGATTCGAATATGCACCATTTCTTGTAAAAATAATTCTAATTTTTACAAAAAGCGGCTTGACAAAAAATATATTCCGTCCAATAACTTGGGTGTAAATAGAGACAAACAACTTTCTAAGCAATACTTTTATACTCTGTTGAAAGGAAGTGTGAGGATATTTTTAGAACTATCACAAAATTCTGAATATAGATGACGAACGCGTTCGTGTCGACAGAATGTTTCTGGAATTAATTTGGTTCGTTTGTGAAACCACCAAATCTCAAATAAATACGGATTAATGAGCAAAAGCAGTACGTTTTGCTAAATCCACTCACGAATTTCGGGACGTAGATGAAGCTCTATACAGATACAAGGCTTTCAATGAACGGTGAGTCACTCATAAAAGAGCCAGAAGGCAAACGGATCACCTCCATGACACGCGAACCGGTAAACTTCATAATTGGCCCGAGGAGAAGAAGTCAGAAGAAAGAGAGATGAAAGTTCGGTTATATATTAAGAGTTGCTGCATTATTTACATTATTCGAACTATTGTCCTCATCTTTGTCGCCATATTTATTACAACGTTTCGGCTGTTGTACGATCCGGCCTTCTTCATGTAGTTCGAATGTCGAACTGAACCCTTTATTTGGCTCACTGGAGTAGACTGTTCTAGTTCCACGTGCCATGTTTAATGGATGTCAGTTATCAGTTATCTTCTGTTAATTCCCCTCTCAAAGTTCTCCACTTCCATAACAGATATTTTGAACTCACACTCTTTGGGTCCTGTCATTGGATCTACCTAACGCCTTTACCCACCGTGCCATGTGTCATTGAAGACATGAAATGAGGGGCTCAGTTCGACTTTCCAACTACATGAAGAAGGTTCGAGCATACATCGGCCGAAACGTTGTAATTAATATAGCGACAAAGATTAGGACAATAGTACGAATAATGTAAATAATGTACATAATACCTCATCTCAGAAATATAGACAAATACTAAGAGATGCTGGTTCATAAAAAAATCTGTTACTTTATTTTTCTTTGGGGATATCCAAGTTTTATAAATTACTGTTGTGCGTCATTAACATGTAAAACAAATTCAGTTTCATTTATCACATTATTCACATTGTCGCTCTGTTTTCAGAAGCGCAATTATAGCCAACATACTTTCGTAGGAACGTCTAAGCCCTTATGGAAATGGTAGAATTTTTATAATGAGAATCCATCTTACATCTATATAAATCTGCTATTCGAACTTGCATTGAATATTGCTGTCATGTCTGGTGCTCCTGGTATATATCTTAAGATTTTTGAGAAAATCCAAAGAAAGTTCTATAATTGTTATATAAGAATAAAATATCACTGCCGACACTAGAGATTGAACATAGATCGCCAGAGAGTAATCACGGGCGATCCCGTTATTGAATTATTATACCAGGTGACCATAGAGGAAACGCATATATACGAGTTACCGCGTGTTTAATTGATAGTCATTCTAATCTTATGTCCCCTAATATACATATATTAATATTCGGATAGCTATTTCTCGTCTGAGAAGGTGCAAAGAGTCACTCTACTGGAGGTTAGTATCAGCCATACTGATGGAAGGCAGAAAGGATGTCTCTCAGATGATTAAAAGAAACCAGTTTTGTTTTGGAGGAGTTAAAATTAAGAAGCCATTCCTTGTCCCAGTGAACGGCATAATTTAGGTCACTTTTGAGAACATATATCAGTTTGATCTTTTTTAAAATCTACTTCACCCCATTGCAAGAAGTAAACGCACTGAGACACATGGGATTACAGGGTGTGGAAGGGATAGGAATAATGTCGCTGCCGACTCTTGAGTTTGAACATAGGTCGCCAGAGAGTAAACACAAGCGATCCCATTATTGAAATAAGTAGACCACGTGACAATAGAGGAAAAGTATATATGGGAGGTAGCGTGTGTGTAATTGATCGTCATTTCTAGTCTATCCTCTATTACTATTCGGATCGCTATTTCTAATCTATCCTCTATTAATCTACGAAAGGCTATTCTCTACTCTATTCTCTATAATATTTTTCTATATTGATTGCTATTAGTGCCGGTGATATTCGAAGGCGTCTGACACTAGTATTGATCAACGGCGTTATTATAGTTGTATCTGCGATTGCAAAGTCTCTACTACAGCGAACATTACGAAAGTGATAACGATTATTCTTTGGCATCACGAAAGTGGTAATGAGAGTTCATTGACGTCATGAAAAATAATATAGTTGCTCCTGAACCTGGCATCTCGACTTCAGTTATTTCCCCACCGCCATGACGTGGTTTTTCTATTTTTCTACAAATATTTCCATGGCAATTCTTCTGACGCATTTTCTTCCTCCTTTCATACATCGACCTTAACCTTAAGATACTACACTATTGACTACAACGTCATACACTTTTACATTTGATATTTGTTATTTTTCTTCTTTTACAGTATGGTTCACCATGTACACGGCCCTAGGACCACTCGAGGTAAAGGGTTATATTAATAGGTAGTTTATATAGATAGTAGGGGACAAAATCTGTTAACCCTTGACTAGAACAAGTTAAGGTTGTAGCCATCGGGAAACATACACTTGCGAGTCTGTACCATAGAACATTAATTGGCGGGATGAAGCAGTTTGAGTGGAACTTAATTCTTGCCAATGAAATTCGTAGTGAACCAGGGAGATTTGATACAATGTAAGTGACATGGCGGGTCCTAGCTATAAAGGTTAGACCTGACTGAAATAAAGAATATAGTTCGTTCAATTTTTTCCATCGAACACGATAGAGTATTAAGAGGCTCGCCATGTCATTCCTGTGAGTGAGAGTTAATCTAAGAGTTCGTTTCCAACAATGACTACGATACGCTTTTTGACTTTTTCAAGTCTATCTAGAGTCAACCGTAATGAAATCTAGTTGAAATCTCTTCCGATTTCTTGCTCACTGCCAACGACAGACTTCAGAAATTTAAATTCAACGCCAGTCGCCATCTTCTGTCTTCCTGGATCTTGGTTTTATTGTCCTTTCTCTCCCCATTAAATTTTTCAAGTTATCTTACATTCTTAGTAACTCGCTGCGTCTTAGTGACATTATCCCCTTGCTTCGGTTTAAATGATTAAAAATATATATCACGATTACATATTTCTTGCAATTTATCAATTTCTGGATGCGAAATGAAAAAAATAGGTAGTTATTTACATGGCTGACTGGCTATTACGTTAGTGTTTCAGACTTGTATCCCATGTCTGTATCTCACTATCGTTTGTTTATGAAGGAGATGTCTCCTTGATAATATTGCGCTTGTGAAACGACCCCAGCGTGTGCTACTGCTGGTAAGTGTATGAAAAACATACCAGGGGTCGATCGAAGTCTTGTTAAGGAAGTCAGAAAATTGTTTTGAAGCCATCGATGGCTGAGATGTCACGAAGTCAAAATATCATCGTGACACGGTATTTGATATTGTTCAACTTCTAATCACGCCAGTTTATGAGTTCTTTTCCAGAAACTACAACTAATGTCCGTTCAGCAAAGTTGCAGAATAAATCACTTCTTATCAGTTCTGCAAAAGGAACTATCTAGCCAGCTTAGCAGACTAAAACGATCGGCTACGTATTACTAAGTAAATGGCTATAAGTGATGGTCATTTATTCATTACTGAGATGATCAATGGCGTTACTATACTGGTAAACTCTACTTAACTGTTAAACGATTGTTGAAAATTCCTGACCTGGCTTAACGCTGCGTTTGGTTTACAAATATGTTGTCACGAATGGGGATTATCTCGACGCAGATGTAATGATCTTTAAGAAGGCTTCTTAACTCTTAATCTACATCGGTGTGAACTTTATATTGCATCGCCTTTAATCTTTGCTGAGACAAACTCTCTTTGTTGCTATATACGAGTCATGGTTTCGAAGGATTCCCGCCATTTCCATCAAGAGAATACAATTCTGGATAATTATTGTTCAAGTTTAAATATTGGATTGCAGTTTTCTTTGCTGATCGAGAAGTGGAATAAAACAAATGCTGATCTTCAGACGTGTTTTTCAATTTCAAGAACGACTTAAAATCACCGGTTCTCGTAAGATCACGGAAGTTAAGCAATGTCGACTCTGGTCAGTACCAAGACGGGTGACCGCATGGGAATAATAGGTGATGTAAGCTTGGAATGTGCGCGTGGTGTAATAAATAATAGCCCGGAATTGTAAATCAGAGAGTCAAGTTCAAAATCAGGCTCCCCATATTAAACTGGCATTGTGTCACATCCTGTTAGCGTGGAGAGCAAGTAATTATTAAATATAATATCTGTTCTCCTCATCTCGAATGGTAATCGTAACATCAGTTGTTTCCTTAAAATGAAATTCAGAATTCTCTGACCAAGCATCTCATGAGAATTAGGCTTTTTTTCCCCACTACCTTAGCGGTCGGGCTCCAATCTACGCAAAATATCTCTTGCTGCCATCTCTGAAGGTAGCGTAACAGTTGTTGGAGTGGAAAGTGGAACCAGAGAGTCGAGTTCGAACTCCGTCTCATGCATTCACATTATTAACAGGAGTCTTAGAAAAGTTTAGAATCCAACGTTTCTCCAGCTATCTCTTGTTTAAATAGGAGGTTAGATATGACTTAGCTGCGGCTAATGAAAGAGAAATATTAATCTGAATTTAAAAAAACTTGTGATCTAGCAGGAAAGCATGCTACTAATTTCCCAGCAGTTACCCACCAGAAAGAAACCTCCCAGCCTCCCATCAAGATGGCTGATGCTCACCTCCACGAGAGCGACTCTCTGCACCTGCTTGGTCACACGCGGTCCACTGACCTGAAGTGGAACAACTACATTGAATCTATAGCTTCATCTAGCACAAGGAAAGTTGGTTCTCTGTGTCGCGCCAGAAGGTTCTTCTCGCCGGAGTCCATCCTTCAAATCTACATATCAATCATTCATCCTTGCGTTGAGTACTGCTGCCATATATGATCCGGTCCTCCTGCTGTTCATCGTGAGATCTTAGACAATATCCGGAGACGGATATGCAACGTGGTTCGTCCTGAACTGGCATTCCGTCTACAGCTACTATCTCACACACGTATTGGTTCCCTTCTGTCTTATCTACACGTACTTTCATGGCAACTGCTCCGACGAGCTACTTTTACTGGTTCCAAAACTGTATGAATTTAAGCGTGATACTGGGTTGGCATCTCGGTCCCACACTTTCATTCTTTTCTACTACAACAGCTTCTTATCTCGCACCACCCGTCGGAGGAACTCCATTCCTCTTACTTGATTCCTTGATAGTTATAATTTCCAAATATTCAAATGTAATGTCAATCGACATCTTCTGATGCCTTGGCCTTGATCCCTGTCCTTCTCTTTATCCTTTTCCCAAACACCCCTTTTTATTCTTACTCTCTGTAAACCCTTGCGTGCTAGTGGCACTCCCGCCTTGTTTGGGATGAAATGCTTAAAAATAATCTTGGAAAATTCACAGCTAATACGGAAACTACATTGGTGTAGAGCTACGGTCGCCTACGAGTTGAAGGAATATGGCATTTAAAAACATTTGTATCCTGTTTAATCGTTTCACACCAAACCGATAATACCACTAGAATTCGGGGGAGGGGGTTACAGGGTGTGAAAGAAAATGAATAGAATTGATGTAGTCGAGTTTTGTGACACTTTTGTAATGTCAACAATCACTCATTGCCACTGTTGTGATGTCAACGAATACTTGTTGTTACTTTCGTAATGCTTGTTGTAGTAGAGACTTTGTAATTGAAGATACAACTATAGGAATGCCGTTGAACAATACTGGCGCCAGACACCTTCGAATATCAGTCGCACTAATAGTACTTCCTCGATAATAATCGCTTGAACAGTAACCGCCGAATAGTGATCCGAATAGAGAAATAATAAAGTGAATAGAGTAGAGAATAGCGGTCCGTATAGTAATAGAGGATAGAATAGAAATGGCGAAAATCAATTAGACGTCACGCCACTTTCTACTTATGCGTTTCTCTATGGCCACGCGATCCACTAAATTCAATAATGGGATCGCCTGTGTTTGTTATCTGGCGATTTATGTTCAAACTCAAGTGTCGCTGCCGACACTTGATTCCTATGTAACATGGATGCACCAGGAGAAAAAAATCTAATCAGAACAATTTCTATGAAAATATTTGTAGACATTTGTGGGGACGATGGAGGAAAAAAAAGGAACATGGTAAAAAAAAAGGAACATGGTAAAAAAAAAAAAGAAGACAGACGATGGCGATTGATGATCCATTTAAATTTTTTTGAAGATTGTTGTTAGCAGAGAAGCAAGAAATCGTAAGGCAGTTCCACAGGTGTGAAGTGCGAGAAATTAAACCGTTAGAGTACAAGTGGCGTTTGCATCTAACTAGTTCAACATAAAAACGGTGAGACTTAGATGCCAATTCATGCAGTTGTGTCACTGGGAAAAAAGCTAATCATAAGATTTGCCATGAAAATATTTACAGAAAAATACGGGGTGGGGAACAACAATATATCCGTAAGTATTAAGTAAACGAAGCTTCAGGAATCAGTTGAAGACACCCCTGACACAGGCCAACACTGATCTTCACACGTGGGAAACCGTTGCTACAAATCTGCTTTCCTGGTATGGAACCATCGGTTAGTTCGTGTCTAGCCGTTAACATGAAGAGGATCTGCGACATTCTGTTAGGTAGGCCCTAATCACCAAGCCACATCCACCACGCACACTCCTCAGTGACTCCTGCTCACATCTCTTCAGGTGGGGAGAAAATTTAAAAAGGGAGACGGGGATGACGACCTCAATGCTCTGATACGAGAAGTTGCCAACTAAAATTACTACTAAGTATACCCTTGTCAATGTGTTTTAAAAATGTGAAAAATGCTGAATGTTTAAATATCTAGGTTAGGGGATGAATGGATTGATTTTTAGTGAAATAATCCTTTAAATATATTTAATATACTAAAAACATAAGGCACCCTATAGGAAGACAGCTCTCTTTCCAAACTTGAAATGAATACTTAAATATTTCGGTGGACGTGGAAAATGAATAATTTCACACCCCATAAAGCCTTGCCAACAGACGGTATGTCGCAAGCTTATTGCTATTCTATTGCTTATTTTATGGAAATGCTTGAGTCGATAAACACTTCATAGTTCGTCCCGTTATAGCTAGGACCCACCATGCCATATACACAGCGTTCAATCATTCTGAGTCCCTTCTTGTTTCATTTTGTAAAAACAGTTTAGTCAGTTCTCTAGATACTTCTAGAACCTCATTCCCAAGAGAAAACAAAAACCTCATTGGCCATTACTACGTCTGATGCCAGGTAAGTTGGTTCATGGGTCTATGCAATCTTTCCCGCTCGAATCTATCAGGTGTTTATAAGCCTACAATTCGTTCATGCTTCGAATATTGCTATCACATATGGTCCTGAAACATTTCGCTGGATGTGGAAAATGAATAATTTCACACCCTATAAAGCCTTTCCAACATACGGTATGTCGCAAGCCTATTGCTGTTCTATTGCTTATTGTATGGAATTGGTTGAGTCGATAAACACTTCATAGTTCGTCACGTTACAGTTAGGGCCCACCATGCCATATACACAGCGTTCAATTCTGATTCCCTTCCTGTTTCATTTGGTAAAAAAAAAGTTTAGTCAGTTCTCTAGATACTTCTAGAACCTCATTCCCAAGAGAAAACAAAAACCTCATTGGCCATTACTACGTCTGATGCCAGGTAAGTTGGTTCATGGGTCTATGCAATCTTTCCCGCTCGAATCTATCTTAGGTGTTTATAAGCCTACAATTCGTTCATGCTTCGAATATTGCTATCACGTATGGTCCTGAAGTCTTAGATAGAATCCAAAGAAGAATCAGCATTTGTGGTCCTGTTCTGGCATCTCGACTTCAGTTACGTTCCTGCCAACGAAATGTGCAGTGTGGTCCGAAAGTCATGCCACCGCCATACGAAAAATAATGAGAACAATAATAAAGTAATAGCTGGCCACTCGTATTCGAGGATATTCGTCTGCTAGACCAGCTAGCCAATCCCTATTGCAGACGCGCGCTCAGGCACATTTGTGTTTGCTCAACACCCACAGTGGTTTATACCGCATGTATGCTGAGCAGGTCAGATCACTCAAAACCTCGGTCACGATGACTTGTGACTTCGTGCTAGCACAGCTATCGACGGTGTTCTACGTTACCCAATTTAACTCACAAGTCTTGGGTCAACCCGTGGTATGGTTTACAGGCATCTTCCAAAGATAACGCACGCTGGGATCCTCTCCCTACAGACCGACAACATTAGGAAGTCTCCTTCCTGACAAATGAACCGTGGTGAGATTCGAAGCCAGGTCTCATGGTCAGAAAGCGAACGGTCTAAGCCCTCAGCCATTCACCCGCAAAAAGAACAATAGAAACGACAAGTAATACAGTAACAGAAAGCACACGTACTGGATTCAGTTTATTCACTTTCATTGACGCTGACACATATCGAGAACGTTTGTATGAACACCATCATTTTCGTGTCAACCATCTCAAATAGAAGATTATATTATGTAGACGTGAAAAGAATTTCGTAGATTCGATGTGCCTTTTATAAAAATACTTTCATGGTAATTGTTCTGATGAACGTTTCTCTATAATATCCAGTCTTTATAAAATTAAGCTCAGTACTGTATTAGGTAAGGTCTTATCATCTGACAGTCGACATTGCTAGATATGACCGGAAGTTCTATGTTTCATTGCTAACGGTTTCTTTTCTCGCACTTCCCACTTGTGGAATGCTCTTCCGGCTTCTTACTTTACAAGTTTAATCTTCAAAACTTTAAATGCAATGTCAATCGTTATCGTATATCTTCTATATTCCTGTCCGCTTATTTTTCTCGCTCTTGAGTAATGTTTTCTTTCTCTTATATAAAACTCGCACTTAGTATCTTAGTGACTTTATTGCCTTGCTTTAGTAGAATGATTTAAAATATCCAATAACCGTTTAGTTTAAGGTTCTTGGGTCTATATGAATTTTCAAACTTAGATATAATTTTTGGATAGGAATCAATTTAATTCCTGTAAAAGGACAATTATTTTGAGCGCTTGGTAATGGTGTATCTAACTCTAATAATGTCGTCCTAGTTGCGACTTGTGAGAT